CTAAATACACTAAAAAAATTTTTTTTTATTCCTTTCCCACCTGAATGCCTTTTTTTTAATTTCTGTTCTGACTATAACCTTAAATATAGTGTTTAGTAGAAGTGGTATATATTTAATAGGAGTATCTTATACCGGATTTTGGGGAAAAGCCTTCAGTTTTTCACTATTAGGTATGATAATAGCTGTGGGTTTTTCAGATATTATTCGTCAGGTTGAGAAAGTTCCCATCTATTACTGGTTTATAAAATATTTTTGTATCTTTTTCGTAAGATATTTATTGAGGTAAGTCACACAATTTTTGTTTTATTTATTAATATGGTATATTAAGTGGAGTACTACTGAAATCCCTGCAGTGTGGTTAGGTCTTCTACCTGGCACTGTGGCACATGGATGCGAAATACAGACAAAGAATATTCTACAGTTGAGGAGCTCTAGGATGACCAGTATTCTTTATGAAACAAAAGTCCATAAGTCCAAAAGCTCATGGCATTTATTGGTGTCAGGGAGGTAGGTAAGGGTTGTGGCAGAGTGCTAGAAAAACGATACCTTCAGGCATGGGCTACAGTGATAAACAGCAATTTTGTACCAACCACAAAGGCTCTCCAATTAGCAGTACGACAGAGAACCTCATGTGTGCAAGGCTGGCACCTTCACTGCCGTTAGAAAGGTATGACTTTGTTGAGTCCCATGGGCTCAACTGCGATGTTAGCTCATGTCTTAGCCTTTTAGCCAGTTAAGGGATATCTGGGTCAACAGAGTTAGCTCTACACATCTCAGTGAATAGGGTTGAAGTAAAGGTCAGAGAAGGATGGAGGCAAGTGGCTTTGTTTCTCAGGAAAGTGCAGCTTCGCCGTCTCCCCTAGATTACATTTTTTTTTTTTTCAGATTACTGTTTATATGTTGAACCAATTTTGCATTCCTGGCATAGATATCAGTTTGTCATGTTGTATAAAGCTCTTTTTTTTTTTTTTTTTTTTTTTTTTTTTAGCAGAACCGGGGATTGAACTCAGGACCTTGCACTTGCCAGGCAAGAGCTTATTCCACTGAGCCATCTCCCTGGCCCTGATTGTCTATTTCTTGATTTCATTTGTTGTGGTGGTGTTTTTTGTTTTTGTTTTTTTTTTTTTTTTGTGGTACCAGGGATTAAACTCAGGACCTTGCACTTGCCAGGCAGGCGCTTACGCCACTGAGCTGTATCCCTGGCCCCCTGTTGATTTCATTTGTCTTAGGAATCTGTCCTTTTCATCTAAATCCAATTTCTGGCATACAGCTGTTTGTAGAATTTCTTTCTTTCTTTCTTTCTTATTTATTTATTTATTTATTTATTTGTGTGTGTGTGTGTATGTGTGTGGCCAGCTCAGCCCACCAGGGGGCGGGGTTGGCTGGCATGTGGTGCTGGGGGATTGAACTGTGGTCCCTGGGCTTTGCTAAGCTTGTTCTAAGTAGGTGCTTTAGACCACTGAGCCATCTCACCAGCCCCCATAGAATTTCTATGTAATACTTTTTAAAAATTTTGTAACATCTGTACTACTGGCCTCTTTTTTTTAAATTAGTTTATTGAGAAAGAAATAGCAATGAGACAGTTTCAAAACAGGTTAGTAGGACAGTTACAGTAATTAATACATTGCGTCTTGTTGCTTTTGTAGTAGTTATTCAGAGTACAAGATGCAGACATATTTTGTCTGAACACTACTAGTATAAATCTTCTCAAAAAAAAAAAATTCTCATTGAACAAAGAGAAAGTAGTTGTATATCTATCCTATTAGATTTCTAAATTTCTGTGTGAAAATGTGTAATTGTTTATTTTTTTCACATTCTATAGGGATTTGACGTTTAGCATATCAATAATTGTTGGAAAATACCTGTTCAATGTTATGTCTAGGGTGTTTGATATTCAGACAGCTAGTGATATTAAGCTCAACTGTCTGTGTTATAGGGTAACAATATCATTAAGCTTCTCTTCTGGAGGGTTAACAACTCAAGTTTGCAGACCAAAAAATTAGAGTAAAAGAAGGGCAGCAAGGACAGCCAGCATTTTGGCGCTAAGGTCAATGAGGGCTCAAGACATAAAGAGAACCTGTACTGTAACATCCCGTAATTCAGTGGTGTCCCAAATATTCTGTTCAAGGAGATAACGGGGCCACAGAGGAAAGTGATCAACGATGTAGAGTGGGCCTAAGGAGCGTACCTAGAGAGAAGACATTCTCTCAGGCTTTCACAGAGAGCACATCAGTCAAGCAATGGCCGTGACTCATCCAGATTGACAAAAGATCTACAAACTGCTGTACTTGGTTTCAGGGTAAATCCTGAGGGGATTTGACTGACCTTGTCAGATACAAAAGTTAACCATTTTTGTTATATAAGTCTTGGTTTATCTTGGTCTTAACCATCCAGCAGAAAAGTATAAACATGAGGTATTAAAAAGTAGAGCCATATTAACATGCTGAGCTGTAAAAGGCTCAAGTCAGCAACTTCTGACCTTGCCAGTTCCGTGGATAACCCACTACTATTATTTTTTGTCTTTTTGAGATAGGGTTTTGCTATACAGTTCAGGCTGGCCACCTCGGCCTCCCAAGTGCTTGGGATCACAGGCGTGTACCACTATGCCCAGCCCAGTTCTGATTTTAGTAACTTGACCCCCATGTCTTTTTTTTTTTTTTTTTAAACACTTGATCCTAACCAAAAGGCCAAGAAGTGATTTTTTTTTTTTTTTTTTAGACAATGTCTTGCTCCACAATTCAGGCTAGCTTTGAATTCACTGTTTAGATTGGGACCAGCCTTGAGCTCACAGGGATCTTCCTGCCTCACCCGCTGGAGTGCTGGGACTATAGGCATGTGCCATCATACCTAGCTGGGACTGTGTTCTTAGATTGTAGACTAGGTTTAGTGTTTATGTTCCTTAAAATATCAGGGGGGAAAAAAAAGATGACTAAGCAGAAATATGATTATGCGATAGAATTAGCTTTTTAGAATTTTTCTTGGAAAAACACTTTATTCATTTAGGTAGATATTTAGAATTAAACGTGAGGGGCTGGTGAGACGGCTCAGTGGTCTAAAGCACCTACTTAGAACAAGCTTAGCAAAGCAGAGGGACCGCGGTTCAATCCCCCAGCACCACATGCCAGCCAGCCCCGCCCCCTGGTGGGCTGAGCTGGCCACACACACACACACGTAATTACAAAAAATAAAAATAAAAGTTCAATAGCAATGCTTTTAAAAAAAACGTGAATCTGGAACATTATGCTATCAGTTTGAAAAAAGAACAGTCATGTGCACAAATAAAATCTGTAGAAATTTCCATCCTCAATATGGGTAAAATGGGGGCTGGGTAGGTGGCTCAGTGGAATATGCACTTTCCTGGCAAGCGCAAGGCCTGAGTTCAATATCTAGTTCTGCCAAAAAAAAAAAAAAAAAAAGGTAAAATTTTACATTCAATTTAAAGATTTATTTAACTGGTATAGCCTTGCTTAAAATTGCACAGTCATTTTGATAGCCATTTACCATACATGGTAACTCTAAGAATTGCAGCCAACTCCCTTAGGTTAATTGGAAATCTAAGAATGCAGTTGTTACACAGTCAGTGGGATGTGGAGTTGTCTTCTGGTGCCTTCTCAGCATTCCTCTTTTATGTTTTCTCCTCTGGCACTTGGCATGCTGAAGGGATCACCTATTTTTCTTCATTCCTCATTTACTCCATCCCTTACATTGTTATTTATTTGACCAGAGTATCTTTTGTTCATTATGCGAACATGTTCTTGCTTTGAACATAACTGGTGTGATGGATGCTACAATTATTCTTCAGACTTTTTTTTTTTTTTTTTTTTGGATATGCATGATGTTTTCTTTGGCAAACTCCAGCAACTTCCCACATTGACTAAGTCACTACTCTGGCATTTAGTCATGCAATCATATGAACTCCCATTTTCTTTTGTAATTCAACCCCTTCTATTAAATTATGTTAGCAATCAATGACTTTTATAATATCCTAATTACATGTTTATGCAAAAATAAAAGTATCTTTGAAACATTGCAAACGTTTCCTAAAGTTCAGTCTTGAGCACAGCTTAATGACTTAATGGAAAGAACACAGAAAACAAAACAAAGAAAAGAGAAAGGCAAAAGCCAAACCAGAGTCATGACAATTTGTTGGCCTTACTTACACTTATTCAACTTTGAAGACACTGGTTATTTAGACAAAAGAAAAGTCAAGTGGAAACTGAATAGCTAGCTCTCAACCCTCCTGAAACCTCACTGTGGAGAGGCTGATCCCAGCTGCTTTCCTTCTCTAGCAAGATGACAGGAAGTGGGCTCTGGATGCAAGGTAAACATGGAGGGCTAGATAGTTTCTCTGCAGTAAAAACAATGGATGAGTTGCCCAGGAAATTGTGAAATGCTCTCTAATGATCTTTGAAGATATAACGGACACTAATTCATCTGGATTTGTTTAGGTGTGGTCCTGGTTAAAGATGAAGAGAAGAATCTGATACGTTCACGCTTTGGCATTTACCATACCCAGTAAATTCTTAGGGGAAAATGATACAACTCAGTATCCTAAAAACAGCTTTTTAAAGCATCTGTTTTGGCCTTAAGTCTTTAGGACTTAACCAAATTAACTACACAGTGAAAATTCTAGTGCCTGGGTTTTATAAAGAAGAAAATGGATTCAAGTGGCCAACACTTGAAGTTAAGATCAGCAGTGAGGCGAGGGCCAGGGAGATAGCTCAGACGCATAAGCGCAGCGCCTGAGTTCAGTCCCCGGTTCCGCCAAAAACAAGATCAGCAACGAGAGTGCCTGCCTGGCAAGCGTACAGCCCTGAGTTCGATCCCCAGTACCAAAAAAACCAGCGCTGAGAGCCTCTTTGCTGTCTTTCTGTTTTGACTTTTCTGGACAATATCAAATTAGTTTCAGTGGCTTGATTCTAGGCCAAGATTCTGGCAACAGATTAGAGTCTCACTTTGTTTTGTACACTCTCATTGGATCTCTCATTTTCTCCCCCTAGGCTGAGGGTAAAAGGCTGGGATTGGTCGGCTGGGTCCAGAACACTGACCACGGCACGGTGCAAGGACAGTTACAAGGACCCAGGTCCAAGGTGCATCGTATGCAGGAATGGCTTGAGACAAAAGGAAGTCCCAAATCACACATTGAAAGAGCAAACTTCAAGAATGAAAAAGCCATCTTAAAGTTGGATTACTCGGATTTCCAAATTGTGAAATAATGGCCTGAATTTAAATTTCCCAAGATAAATTCATTAGTTTTGGTTTTCATTGTAAATAAACAGAACTATTCTGTGTTCAATAGAAGAATTTGTTAGTTATTTTAGCATCAGTAGTTGATACTGTTACTATTGTTACACTTGACTTACTGTATATTACATGTACAGTGGAAGGATTACAGTTGTACAGTTTTAGTTAATAAAAACACATTAAAACCTGCTTATGATACTTTTTTTTGAAGGGTGGAGTCAGGTGGTGGCCCATTTACCTAATTGGCAGACAACCCCCAAAACAACAGTAAGGGCCTTTATTTGTACCTTTGTGAAGTTAGTATCATGTGACATAGGATTGCCTAGTGACTGATACCTGACATTTACCAGTCAGGATGCTTTTCTCAGGACTGAGGTAGCTTGACTGCTTTAGGCACTGAGGCCTAGTCCTGCTCTCACACATTTAACCACTTTCCAGCTTTAATGGCTCCCAACATCTCTCCTTTTTTTGTTTTGTTGTGTGAATGATGGGTGTTGTGTTGCAGTTGGAGAAGCTGTGCTTAGAGAACTCTTCAGAAGATCTTTCTGTTCTTCATGCCAGTCGAAGAATTTTGGTACCTGTATATAGCAGTTTAACCCTCTAAAGTGCAGTAGTCCATAACAGCAGTGAGTCAGCAGTACAGCTGGGAACAGTCAGCGATTTGAACCTTTTACAGCCAGTATATTATGTCATTGCTTTTTTAACATCTCATGGTTATACTGTTCTGTTGGATGGTTAAGACCAAGTTAAAGCAAGATCTGTGCAAATGCAAAAATAACTTTTTGGTATCTATCAAGGTCAGTTAAATCTCAGGATTTTCCTTGGAACCATGTACAGCACATCTTAGATCTTTTGTCAGTGTCAGACAGCTGAGTCACAACTTAAGGTACTGGTTTCTATTTTGGGTACTGGGCATTGAACTCAGGATCTTGCACTTGACAGGTAGCCGCTTAAACTGCTAAGATATCTCCCTGACCTTTATGGTACTTTTAAAATAGTCAGCGAGGGCTGGTGAGATGGCTCAGTAGAATAAGCACTTCCCTGGCAAGCACAAGCACCTGAGGTCAATCCCAGGTTCTGCCAAAACAAAAAGCCAATAGTCATTGAGCTTCTTTTTGGGCAAAAGTATTTATTCAGTTAACATTTATAGGAGAGCCCCGGTTCTGCAAAAAAAAAAAAAAAAAATAGATTTTGAGGTAATTTAAAGAGGTCTGATCGGGCTGGTGAGATGGCTCAGTGGTCTAAAGCACCTACTTAGAACAAGCTTAACAAAAGCAAAGGGACGGCGGTTCAATCCCCCAGCACCACATGCCAGCCAGCCCTGCCCCCTGGTGGGCTGAGCTGGCCACACACACACACACACACAAATAAATAAATAAAAAAATAATAAAAAAAAAAAAAATAAAGAGGTCTGATCTAAAACAACCATTGCTAGGAAGGTGTCTCAGTGGTGTAAACAGCCTGGCAAGCCCAAGGTCCTGAGTTTGATCCCTGGTACCAAAATAAGGCATTTGTTTTTTTAGATTTTTTTTTTAACATTTACTTTGTGTGTGTGTGTGTGTGTGTGTGTGTGGCCAGCTCAGCCCACCAGGGGGCGGGATGGCTGGCATGTGGTGCTGGGGGATTGAACCGCGGTCCCTGTGCTTTGCCAGGCTTGTTCCAAGTAGGTGCTTTAGACCACTGAGCCATCTCGCCAGCCCCAAGGCATTTGTTTTATTTATTTATTGTACTAGGGAATTTCTGTGCATGGCCTTTTTTTTCCTCAGAACTGGGGATTAAACTCAAGCCCCTGCACTTGCGAGGCAAGCACTTATTCTGCTGAGCCGTCTCCCCAGCCCGTATGCAGGGCCTTTGCATTGGGGTATCCCCAGCCTTGGCCACCACCCTTTGAGAGACGGTGTTGCTACGTCTTTGATAAAACCCTAAATTATCCAGCCTGGACTTGAATTTGCAATCTTGTCTCGTCCTTTTTTTTTTTTTTCTTTAAAAGTAGGAAAGTTTATTGGAGAAAGGGAATGAGGAATAGGATAGCGCCTGAGAGACAGAAGCAGTCTCGAATGGTTGCTCTTAATAATTTCTTAAAGGTTTTTTTTTCTGTGTGTGTGTGTGTGTGCAGGGTCTCACTACGCAGCTCAGACCCATAGTGATCCTCCTGATTTCTGCCTTCCTAGTGCTGTGATTACAGGCATGCGCCACCACGCCCAGACTCCATTGCCAGCTCAGCATGCCCAGGGAGTGGGGCCGGGGTGGCATGTGGTGCCAGGGATTCAACCCAGGCCCCTGCACTTCCCTACACTTATCTAAGCTTGCTTAGTCTGCTGAGCTATACTGCCGGCCCTTAAATAATTTCTTTAAATGGCTCCTAACTTCTGCTGGCCTTCATTTCCTCTGGGTAAACTGACATCAAGTAATGTGATGGGCTGAACTGTAACTCCCCCTGTTGATATGCTGAAGTCCTCTGCCTCAGCCCCACTTTGGCAAGTGTTATTGGAAATACTGGTCTAGGCAGCTGAGTTAGATGAAAATATAGGCAGACAGACAGGGCTAGGCCTTCAAAGGACCTTATGTGGAAGACAAGATACCTTGCAACTGAGAGAGACAGGCATTCCTGCTGTGGGCCAGACCACACGACAAGATTAAACAGACGGAGCCACACTCCTCCCTAAGGATGGACATCAGGGATTGATAGTTTTAAATAGGTATCAATCCCTTTGAAAAAGCCAGGGAGAGTCACTAACCCAACCCGCTATTGGAAAAGCCCCTGTTCTGTATTCACGCGCTTGCTGCGCTTGCTATGTGACGTGCTTCCCCATTTGGTCCTGGATTTAATCACTTTCACCTGAGCAACTGTGCTTGTAATCTTAGTCGACAATAGTTGTGTCCCACCTCAAGGCCACCTAGCAAGTTCCTGAGTTTCCCATCTTAGATCCACCTCACCTCATGGTTTTGCTCTATAAAAAAAATCCCTAGAAAAATCAGGGTCTTTGGCAACCCACTTGGGTCCCCTTCTGTCCCTCTGTCAGACAAGCTTTCTTTCCCCCAATAAATATATTCTGCTCTTCCGTTGTTCCTAAAATTCACGCTTTGGTTTATGAGAACACAAACTTGTCCAAGATTCTTTCAGGTTGGGTGTTTCTTTCTCCTATATCAATATGACCTTTGAAGACAGGATTAAAGAGCCAGGTGTGTTGTGCAAACCTCTAACGCCAGCTGCTCTGGAGGCTGAAACAGGGTGCACAAATGTTTGAGGTCAGTCTGGGGAATTTTATGAGCCCCTCTATTTTATTCTTTTTTTTTTCTATTTTATTTTTTATTCATTTTTTTTTTTTTTAAATGTTTGGTACAGGGTCTCACTACAGAACTCGGATTCATGGTATCCTCCTGTTTTCAGCCTCCCCAGCACTGGGATTACAGGTGTTGGACACCAGCCTGCCCGGTGGCAGCGTGCCCGAGGGGCGAGAGCGCTTGCCTAGTGTGCAGGAACTCTCTGGGTGGGTGTCATCCCCAGTACACACAGGGTTCTGTGAGGCTGGTAGAGTGGACCCTGGTGTAATGTGCTGGTGTCTTAATACATAGACGTTTGCACAGGGATATGTGTGTGCACAGGCGGGACCATGTGAAGACGGCTGTCTAGCAACCAGGAGAGGCCTCGGGAGAAATCCCTGCTGAGACCTTGATCCCGGACTTCTGGTCTCCAGAATGGAGAGAAAATAAGCTGCTGATGTTTGAGCCACCCATTCTGTGCGATTTTGTCATGGAGCCCTAGCAAACTAATATATGCAGTAATCAAAATTTGCTTCATCATCCACAGAAGTCTGATTTGATTTGGTTAGTGATTAAACAAGTGTAGTTCAAACACTTAGTGGGTTTACAAAATTTTCTCATAAGTTCCAATTTTTTAAAAAAAAATTAGGTTCCAGTGCAATTGAGATGGAAAGCAGAATCTGAGGGCTGGTTAATAAGTTCCAAAACGTTTACTCTCCTAGTGTTGTTAGGAGTTCTGTTTTCCTTCAGTCAGGAAAAGTGGTGGTGGTATTGGGAATATAGCAAAGAAGCTAATGAGTCCTGGTGTCCTCATTTGTAACTTAAGGGAGCTAAACTAGTTTCTCCATCTTTTTTTTGGCCGAACCAGGGACTGAACTCTGGCCCTTGCACTTGCCAGTCTCAGTCTTTTCTGACTCTAAAAACCATTAATTCTACAATGGAAAGCTCTGGATTTATTCCCTGAGTGCTCGCCATATGCCAGGCACTAGACTGACTCATCTAGCTTACATTCTTTATTTTTTAAATTTTTCTCCCATCCCTCTACCCTCCCTTCAACCCCTCTGAGTTTACATTCTAGCTAAGAAACATAAGCAAATAAAAATATTTTTCTTCTTTTTTAGTTTGTTTTAATTTTTTTTTTGTACAGGGTCTCGCTATGCAGCTTGGAATCATAGTGATCCTCCTGTTTTCAGCCTCCCCAGTGCTGGGATTACAGGCTTGTGCCACCACACCCGGACTGGGCAACACACGGGGGTGGGGGAGGGCAGGGCTGGAGTGGCATGTGGTGCCAGGGAGTGAACCCCGGACTCTGCACTTACCTAAGGAGGTGCTTAGCCCGCAGAGCTATCCCGCCTGCCCTTTTATTTTAAAAAGCTGTATTAAATAGTAATTAAATAGTAGTATGGGCCATAGACATAGTTCAGTGGCACAGTGCCTGTCTAGTAATCAAGAAGTCCTGAGTTCGAGTCCCAGTACAAAAACATTAACGGGTAAATACTAGTACATACAAAAGGAAAAAAGGGCTTCCTTTCAGCCAGAACTGCCATCTTCCAGTAATTTGCCAAAATGACTAACACAAAGGGCAAGAGGAAGGGAACCTGGTATATGTTTTCCAGGCCTTTTAGAAAACATGGGGTTGTTCCTTTGGCTACATACATGTGAATCTACAAAAAAGGTGATATTGTAGACATCAAGGGAATAGGTACTGTGCAAAATGGAACGCCTCACAAATGTTACCATGGCAAAACGGGAAGAGTCTACAACGTTACCCAGCATGCTGTTGCATCGTTGTAAACAAGCAAGTTAAGGGCAAGATACTTGCCAAGAGGATTAATGTGCGTATCGAGCATATTAAACACTCAGCGTGATAGCTTCCTGAAATGTGTCAAGGAAAATGATCAGAAAAAGAAGGAAGCCAAAGAGAAGGTACCTGGGTTCAGCTGAAGCGCCAGCCTGCCCCTCCAGAGAAGCACACTTTGTGAAGACCAATGGAAAGGAACACGAGTTGTTGGAACCCATTCCCTAGGAATTCATGGCATAAACTGGGGACGTTGCTCTGCCATTCAGCACCTAATAGGCAGCTTAAGTGTTCTAGGTCCTATGTAAAATTAAAATCATCCTGTGTTGTAAGGGTGGTTTTCTTAGTTGAACAGGTATGCGGCGCCTTCTTACCTCAGAAATATTTGCAGCAGATTTTCACTGTACCCAGGAATTGTGTCTAGCCTTTACTCTTCAGTATTTTGTTGCTGAAAGATATTGCTGAGGTACTGTGCAGGTATATACCCAAAAATTCAGTTTTGTTTTTTGTTTTTTTTGGCAGAACCGGGGATTGAACTCAGGCCCTTGTGCTTGCCAGGGAAGCGCTTATTCCACTCAGCCATCTCCCTGACCCCTAAAAATTCAAATATTTGTAAAGTATTTATATTGGCTTGAAGACCCTGTAAATCATCATGGGGAAAAGATGTATCAAAATAAATGGAAGTCACTTCAGAAACAAACTTAAGTCCATTTCAGTTAAATTGTTTAAAGCAAAAA